CCTGCCGGGCGGGACGGACAGACCGACCGACGCGGGCCGCCCGGCTCTCCTCGCCGCCGCCGCGGCGGGCGCAGGGCCGCGCGGAAAGGCCTGATCCCTGCAGCGCCGGCGGGCGGCGTCGCAGAGCGGAGCCAGCCAGAGCCGCCGGGACTCCTGCAGGTACCTGCTTGTGTCCCCTCCGCCCCCTGCGCTCGGGAGACTTCTCCGTGTGACCCCGCAACTTTCCCCGCCTTTTGCTGCCCAGCCCCGCCGTGGCCCAGGTCACGGGTGCACGACCCCGCAGGGGACTTCGCATCCTGCTGGGCGCCTGTCTCTGGCGCTGTCCATCCTCCAGTCCCCAGACCCGTCGTTGCTGGAGTCCTAAGGCTCCGCCTGTTGCGCCGGCTGTTGGCAGCCGAGACAGTGTCTGGGTGCCTCGGAAAGCCGCAGGGAGGGTGTCTAGAATCCGCTCTTGAGCGCGGGGTGGAGGACGGATGGAGGCGGGAGAATCGAGGAGCCGGGGAAAGGCGGCACTTCGCGGAGGGGCATCCCTGGGGCGTTTCCTTAGCCGGGAAGCCGTTCCTTCTCTTCCTCGAGAGGAGGCGCTTTCCTGACGAACGAACGTAAGTGCTTCCCAGGCCGCCTGCTCCGCCTTCCTCCCTGTCATTCTCCCCTCCCCTTTGCCCTGCAGCGGTGCGAGGCGCCCCGCGACAGTTGCTGGGAAGAGCGCACCCAGGGCCCTTGCTCTGGTGCCGCGCTGCGCCCAGGGACTGCCGGCGCGCTCCGGGTGCGAGCGGCTTGGGGCTTGCAGGGCCCGTGTTGAGTGGCCCGCAGACTGCGTTTGGATCAGTGGTAGCGATGGCAGTGGGAGCCTCGGGGTCGGGAACTTTCCTTTCCCGCGCCTCTCTGGGTGGCTGCCCGACTTCTGCAGGTGAATGGGCTGGCGAGCGAGGCAGACCTGCCGGCAGGGGCCGCGGCGAGGCGGGCTGGGCGCCTTTCGCATTGCAGGGATCACGCCGAACCGCCACCCGCGCCGCTTCCCCGGCTCTGCCTCTTGTCGTTTGTGCCCTTGGTGTCTCCAGCGTCTCGGCGGGGGACACTGAGCCGGTAGTCTAACTGAGGCAGCCCACGACTGGGGTGGACGGCAGCAAAGAAATACCTCCACCCGCGAGAATGGCCCTGGGGCCCTGGTCTGATGCTGGGGCGTGGTGGTGGGGTGTTTCTCCTCTCCCTCTTGGAGAGTAGACTCTTGATTTTTGTCTTTCATGTCACCCTCCGAGAGAGGAGCAGGTGAGAAAAACCGTATGGGAAACCTTCCCCTCCCTTTGCATGTATTTGCTTAAGTGATTTGCATAAGCGCTGGCTTAGAACTGTGTAGGTTACCCCTAGTTGCTCCCCTTTCTAGACTACTTGCAAATACCTGCCCAGGTAAACAGGAAGCAAGCATTTTCCTGAGCACCTGCCCGCTTGCTAAAGTCAGATGCCCTAGTGCCTCCCTCCCCACATGTCTCAGGCTGAGAGAGGGTGGCATTGATTCTGTGGTTGAACTTGGTGTACTGGGCAGGCCTCATTCTACCTCTGCTGTAAACTGCTTGAAGGCACTGATTCACTCAGAGTGTATCTACAACCAGCCCACAGTGGCTGGGCCAGTCCTTGGTCATACCCAGAGCATGGTGAAGTTTCTGCCTCCCAGTCTATTCCGGTTTTCCTCACCAGATTCGTTCCTTCTCCTGTTCTAATATTAAATTAGCCATTTCAGAACTAGGAATTGTCAATATTAGGGTAGGGAGGAGATGATACTGAAGTACTCAAGAATTCTGAAGCCAGAGCATGTTGTGAATATTTTAAGGAGACTTGCAGCATCCGTGTGGACTCAGGCTTGTGTCTGAGCCATCATTACCTGGAAAATCAGCCTGAACAAAAAAGCCATTAATGAATACAGCAAAGCTAAGGTTTTGCTGGTTAAGTGTGCGAGAGCAAATTGGGAGGTTGGAAGCCAATGCTCTGACACTTGAGTTTGCCAGCAAAGCACTAGTTAAGTTTTTTCTTCTTCCTTATTATTATTATTTTTAAAAAAGTAGGGGAAGAGTGGGCACTTCAGCCACCTCCTCTGTCTTCAGTGGATTTTGCCCTTCACTGTAATCCTTCACAGACCCTGTCTCCCTCTGTTCTACCAGAGATCTCCATCTGCCCTGTCTGGCATTTGGGGCTGGGATGTGCGTCAGCTCCGAGAGACAGCAGGCATCACAAGGGTTTTCCTCCACTTCTTTTTTTTTTCTGGCCTCGCCATGAGAGGCATGCGGGATCTTAGTTCCACAGTTCCCCAGACCAGGGATTGAACCCAGGTCCCCTGCAGTGGAAGTGCGGAGTCTTAACCACTGGACGGCCAGGGAAGCCTTCTTTCTTTCTTTCTTTCTTTTTTTTCTTTTTTTTATAGATGATATTTATTGTCTGGATTCCATATGCCAGCTATGCTGCTTGGCACTTTTCCAGGCATTATCTCATTTAATCCTCAGGACACCCCCATTGGGAAGTGCGGTTTCCCTTCTTGGTCACAGTGTTTCAGTGGGAGCCAGCAGTAGATGGAGCCCCTGCAGGGCATTCTGAGCCTGATGGGAGACCGCAGGGTGGGGCTGAGCCTGAGGTCTCACTGGCAGGCGAGGACAGCTATCCAGGGTGGGGTGAGGCAGAGGGGCAGGTGGGCGTGCTTATTGTCTCTACTGATCAAGTGTCAGGAAGGTAGATCTGCCTGGGTGCCACTTGTGTGAAAAACCTACTAGGACTGGGGACCTGTGCTCTAGCCTGATTTCTACCTGCTTATGGCTCCTTGACTCAACATAAGTCACTTTGCTTCTCTGAGCCTCAGTCTATTTAGCTGCAAGGATGTAGGCATCTGACATTGTTGTTACCCTGTACTAGGCACTATGCTGAAAGCTCTCCATGTATTAATTCACTTCATCCTGATGACAACCCTAGGAGGTAGGCTCTTTTATTATCCCATTTTAATTTAATTTTATTGGCTTAAAACAACAGAAAAATTTCTCTCACACTTCTGGAGGCTGGAAGTCCCAAATCAAGGTTACCCACAGGGGTACCCTCCCTCCAGAGGTTCTGTGGGCAATCTGTTCTTTGCCTATTCTAGCTTTTGGTGGCTCCGGGCATTCCTTGGCTTATGGCTACATAACTCTGACCTCTGCCTCCATGAATTAACCTATTGTAGATGAGAAAAAAGAGACAAATGAGTATCGTGTGCAAAGTCACATAATGAGGATGATGTAAAGCCAGGATTCTATCCCTGGCAATCTGGCTGTGGAACCACTGTGAGATTCTGTCCTTTTTGTTTATCCCTATAGCCCTGACAGTGTGCCCTGTGCTTAATAGGACTCAGACTGGGCTTGTTGAATGGTGACAGGGAGAGGTGGCTTGCTGTTACCAAGCGACTTTTTGGCCCCCTGTCTCCCCTTGGAAAGAAACTTGAAAACTATGCAAGAAAAATGTTCTTTTTTCTTTTGCCAAAGTTATCCTCTTTCCAATGGAATTCTGCCCAGCTAGTTGGGAAGAAAGGAGACAGATCATAAAGATTGTGGGCCAAGTCCACCATCTTTGTGTCTCACAAAGGAGGGCAGTGGATGTGCCCTCTGGGGTCCTTGGAGGTGGTGGAGTCTGAATTTCATCGTGAAGCTGGCTTTTAGTTATTGCTCTTGGCTAGTCAGGGTGCTTAGTTGGAGCAGGGAAGGAGAAGAAAGTACTTTTTACTGTTGTCATTTTATTTTGCATTCAGTGACAGGGTAGGTGAAACTCGGAGAGAAATCCCAATTGCGATGAGCACATCAATGACGTTTAGGATGTGCAGTCAAATGTAGAAGCTGATTCAGAAGAATTTCCATCCTTGTTTTCCTTTATCATTTCTTTAGATCACCCTCTGCAACTTTGCAACACACACACCTACCCCTCATAAAAGTAAACTCTTCTTGCTAAGCTATAAGTAGTTCCTAGATTAAGTTGTAGTGTTTTTCTTTGTGGGCAAGGGGGTCTTGCTCTTTCTGGAATCCTGAGGAGCCTTGCATCATGGTGGGTTTTTTGTTTTTTTTTTCAGAAGCTTTTCCAGCACATTTCTGCTTACTTCCTGTTGGTCAGAATTGTGTAAGAGGCAGAGAAAGCAAGCAGCTTTTTTAAAAAAATTATTTTTTTTAACTTTTTATTTTATACTGGAGTATAGCTGATTAACACTGTTGTGTTAGTTTCAGGTGTACAGCGAAGTGATTCAGTTATGCATATATATGTATCTCTTCTTTTTCAAATTCTTTTCCCATTTAGGTTGCTACATAATATTGAGCAGAGTTCCTTGTTGCACCATGGTTTGCTTGGAGTAGATACCTTATAAAATTGTCTTTAAGTGCACAAGCGTTGAATGATAAAGGCCCAAGCCCCCCTTTTAGGCAGTAACGTTACAGAACAGCAGTTAATGTTGACAGCAGCTGGCTACAGTGTGCTTGCCGAAGTTCCCATCGAATGAAGCATCCTGCTGGGGTCCTGAGCAGATCAGCTGAGCTCAACTGAGCACCCAGCAGATGCTCACCAATGTTGACTTAATGATTAACTTCTGTGGTCTTGTATATGTCCTCGTTACATATACAATTATGCACAAGCATTTATCCAACAAGTATTTGAGTACTTACCCCATATTATGTACAAGGCTGGGGCTGGGTAGGAGACAGACGTTAAACAAATAAATGCAAACATCTGAGCAGTGGCAAATGTTCTAAAGAACTTCATCCGGGAGAGTAGCAAGGGTGGGAGGGTGCTAGTTTAGATGCGGGAGCTGGGAAGACCTTTCTGAGGAAGAGACGTCTCCTTCTGAGGGATAGAGAAGAGTTTATCACATGAAAAGGCAGAGAAAAAGATTTCTGGGCTGCACGGTGTGAGGATTCTAAGGCAGGAATGAGGATTGATAGTTGGAGGAACTCCAGGAGAACTGGCCGGGGCACTGGAAGAGGAGGGCAAGGGCCAGATCACGCTGTGTGCTTTGAGCCAAGTTCAGGACCTTAGAGTTTATCCCGAGGGCTCCGAGAAAGAGCTAATGGAGTAGCGGCAGGGGAGTGTCAGCTTATGTTTCTAGAAGATCACCTGTGAAGGCTGTGAAAACGATATTAAAGAAGAAAAGATTAGAGAGGTTCCAG